GCTGTACCAGTGGTCCAGAGGTTAGGCGCTCACGCGCAAGACCGAAGGTCCTGCGTTTTAATCCTATGAGGTGCAGGAATCGTGGATGTGCACTGCTGATAAGTCCTATACCAGGATGAAACGGCCTTTCAGTGCTTTCAGGTTTCTAATGGTGGTCTAACAATAACTGATTGGTTATTATTGATATTATTTGTTCTGGTAAGCACTTTTTAGTAAGTTGACTTTCTACAGGATGGGGTCGACAACTCCATTCCCAACCTTCCTTTTTTATCCGGACTTGGGACCGACAGTAACCCCAGAAGGGCTCCAGACGGTGTTGATGAAACCGCACCTGTATGTAAATCTTGATGTTAGTTAATAATGATGATACATCATTGATACCTGAACACAACTTATTGTTCTGTATGCGATTATATATCTATTCGAACTTTCTACTACAATTTATCCGATAATTTTGATTAGATACCTTTCTTTTCTTTCAGTTAATGTAACTCATGCTTTACTTCTGTGACTATATTGATAAGTTATTTTAGTATTTGCCTTGTCCTTTTTATCAATGTAATTATCTAAAAAATAAATAATTTAAAAAGTACACTTTCCTTATATCTCTTGGTGATAGTAATTTGGATTTCAAAATTTAAGATAAACTGAAGAATGATTCTAAGAAGCAGCTTTTTTTAGACCTGCACTGTTTAACTGTCTTTCTAAAAAGATCCTAATGTTAGTGGAAAGAATTCAGAAAAAAAGTCGCAACATTCAACCTCTTGATTTCATAGAATTTGAATGAGTACTTAACATTACAAACATTCCCTTCAGTCAGTTTGTATTTACCCGGATATATTAGAATTCTTAGAAGCTATCTGAAAACTGAAAATTTCAACTGAAGGATTGATTTTGGTTAGACAATCATTAAAAATTCAAAGTTACGAAACTGTATAGTTGCTGATCCACGGTTTTCAGACCATATGATGAGTGCTGATACTTTAAAACACCAACCTGTTAGCCAAAACTTTACCTTGTTAATTCCAGTCAGTATGCGATGCTACTACCTGACCGTCATTTGTTGTCATTAACGAGATTTGCTCGACTCTCAAAATGGGTGATTCCCGCTAATCACAACTGTCCAATGCTTCCAATTTTTATCTAATTGTCAGTTCATAATGTAAAATTTCATTAAATTTGATTTCTATAATCTTACAAGCATTACCATTTAGAGGCTATTTTCTCATCATGTACAATCATCACTAGTTAAAAGTACTATTTTTCATTAAAGAGTTATGGAGATTGTTGTTTATTACTGAAATCATGAATCAATCATCGTTAGTCCAGTACTAGAAACCTGCAAGCATAGAAGGACGGCCGTTTCGTCCCGGTATGGCACTAATCAACAGTGCGCATGCAGTACTCCTGCTACTCACAGTACTCGGACCCAGGGCCTTCGGCCTTGCGTGCAAACGCGGGTGGGCATCCAACGGTGTTAATGTCAAGGGAGATTTTGAGCGACCTCAACTATTTATGTTGGATAGTTACTGCCTTCACTCGACAGGGTTAAATTCCACTCGTCACGTCTTCTCACTAGATTTCCGAGAATCTTCTTACAAAGCTTATCCCATACCAGAATAGAACGGCCATCCAGTGATTCCAGATTTCTAATGGTGGTCTAACTATGATTGATTCATGATTTTAGTAACAAAATATGTACTATTGTATTGTAAACAAAGCTGTAAATGATCGATTTCAATTCATGATCAGATAATGCAAAATTTTTTTCCCTTGTTTTTAAATTCTACTTAATTAAAATAATAATATTACCTTTTTTTATTGAACATTGAAAAAAACAATTTTTTTCAAATTAGCAAAATGCAATGGATCAATTATTAGTGTCACTTCGAATGAATGCTAGTTATGTGAAAGAAAATTTTCAAATTAAATGGCATTGTGAAACAGGTCTAGTAGATCATATTAATTTAATTGCAAAAGAATATAAATTATCTCGTCAATTAATAGTAAGTTTGATTAATGATGGTGTTGTTGTTGTGTTCTGATCAAATTATATTTTTAAAGTTTCTTTTCTTTTTTATGATAGTTTGTTTTAAGAAGTTTTGATGGCTATCGATCTGACTCCAATTTGGATGAATATTTGTTTCACATTTTTGAAACCATGTATCGTTCATTGTTAGAGCACCATTAGAAACCTGGAAGCACTGGATGGCCGTTTCGTCCTGGTATGGAACTCATCAGTGGCAGTGCGCATCCACGACTCCTGCAGCCCGCAGGATTCGAACCCAGGACCTTCGGTATTGTGCGCGAACGCCCTAACCGTTAGACCACTGAGCCGGTACCTAACGGTGTTAATGTCTAACTTGATCAAATTCACGGAGTTGCGCAACCTGCGGGCTGCAGGAGCCGTGGATGCGCACTGCTGAGCAGTCCCATACCAGGACGAAACGGCCGTCCAGTGCTTCCAGGTTTCTAATGGTGGTCTAACATTGATCGATACATGGTTTCAAAAATATGTAACTTAACAATCTTCACAACCCCGTAATGCGAATATTTGTTTATTCCATTGAATTCACGTATATCACACCTTGGCGAACCCCAGTTGTTCAACGGTGGTAGTGAGAAGCCAAATACAGATTGAGTTGGATGAATTTATTTCGGGTAATAGTTCACTCAAACAGACATGAGAATACAAAGCATAAAACCAAAGTGAAGCGAGGTGGAGAAAGCGAGGAAGCCAATTCATTAAGGTGAAGCATGATTAAGTATTTATAGTCAGACAAAAAGAGGCTAAACATTTAATACACACTTAAGCATAAAGTAACCAAGATATGAGTGAAAACTTGACAATGTCAAAGGGCGTGTGATTAATGTACACACATTGAAAAATATCCACTTTTAATTTTCTGAACATTACCAATTGAATAATACTAAATGTACATTTCTTACAATCTTTGATGAAGCTACTAAATTCAAACTCTAGTAATTCCATTGAGTACTTGTCCTCTACTAATCAGTTTCTATTACTTGAAATCTCAGAATTTTACCAGTAGAGAGATAAGTTAATGAAAAGCAACATCTCTCATAATTTTAATGTATATGTGAATTGTATTTAATTACCTAAATCTTACGTACGATAGTTACTTAACGCCTGTTATCCCTAATGGAGTATAGGTCGCCGATTAGCAAATAATTTTTCTGTTTAACGTTTTTCTTAGCGAATTGGGTTTCTACGAGATAGGGTCACTAACACCATGACCAACCCTCCTCCTTTATCCGGGTTTGGGATCAGTAGTAACGCTAGAAGGGCTTCAATTGGAGTTTATCCAATCAGTAAAATATTTAAAATCATTATAAAATACTTATGGTGGTTTATTTACCTCTAAAATCTTTCCCAAAATCGAATCAAAAACTTACCTTTGGATTATCAGCAATCTTTCTAACTTAACATAACATACAATGATTCATAGTGGATTGGATTTAAAAACTTTTTCAAAACAAATACCAGGTTTGCCGAATCTATTAATAAATTAACATAAATTTCAATGTTTTTTTTTTCAAAAAAAAGTTCATATCAATCTGTACTTCATTTTAAATATTAACTTTGTGTTACAAACATTCAGCCTATTCGATTGTGTATCCTTGGTCCTCCCGCAAGTGGTAAGACAACATTGGCTAAAAAACTATGTGAATACTATAAATTACCACATGTACATATTAAACAAGTAATCGATGAAGCTATAATTAATTTAGTAAGTTGAGTGAGACTAGTTTACTCCTAATAAAGATGATGTTTTTTTTAACTTAGCTAACTGATTAAATTGCGTGAAGTTAAATCTGATGAATTTGTCAAATAAACAGTAGAGGAAAATGTTTTACGTAAATTTAAGCTCAACTCACAGACATTAACGAAAGTAAGATTACTTTGGACCAATTTTCTAGACGAACGGTAATCTTCATAATTTCGACAACGATTGGTTATTATTTATTAATCAGTCATAATTAACACATAAAGCAGTGCAAAATTTTGTGTTAGCTGAAATCGCAAAACAAAATCACTAAAATGAGATGTAGATAGCAGAACAAATAACAAACTAGTCACCTTATCTGTGGTACCAACTGTAATGGGAAAAATTAATCACTGATAATGTGGTTCAAAAGGATACAATAAAAAGATTTCTGTGAAGGTATTCTAGAACTTGAGATAAACAGAAAATGAGTCTGATCAACTAAGACCTATCCTTTACTTTGCCGTAAAGCATCTTTAGCCACTAATCTTCTAGAGTGAAACTATATAGTCTGCATCTACCAACACGTTTCAGTTCAGTGGTTAATTATTTCATGGACTGATGTTATGTTTGGATTGGACGCCTCTAAGTTTCTCATAACTTACTAATGCTTCAACAACCGTTGGATTTCGAAGTCCTTGCTGGGTGTCACTTGTAATTCAGATCCTAAACACTTCAGCCGATGAAAATTTACAGCTCCATTAACGTGGATACTATCGATGTCCAGTGCCTTACACTTAAATCTGAGTGCAACGTACTCGGTTTGTCCATAATACGCAGGAAATGCTTTGACGACACGATCACTAACTATTAACCTTTGAATATCCCTTACTTCTAAAGGACGCATTTCACAGCGACAGATAGGGCTAAATGCTGTACATTAAACTCCCTCTTTGATTGATAGACTGAGGTCTCGCTTACGTCAAAAATGACATACGTATCCAAACGCCAACCAAGCTTTCTGAATCTGAGTCAAGAGTCCGTCTTACACTACACCACTAGAATTAACAAACAAATGTATTGAATCGCTAAGAGCAAGCAGTTCTTTCATACAACATGAAAATGGATCTTGGAATCTATAGGAATGGATTTTGAGTAGTAAACTAAAAACTAATCAAATATATGATTTTGCAATCAGGGAAAGATCTCGAGAGTCATATTCAAGATTTGAAATCCTAACAGATTTAGTACCACTAACAAACCAATAAAAATTAATTCATTCGATCATCTGTTAGAAGAAACATATTAGGACTTACCGATATGAAAATATCGATACGTACAGACACAAACTTGTATCCAAATTCTGAATAAAGAAGACTAAAAACCCCGGATGATTTTTGAAGGTCTGTCATTGTTGTAGATTTGAAATCAAAAGATACACAAGGATACACTGAATCACTCCATCGACAATACGGTTCCAAATTAACCTAACAAAATAATGAATATGAAGGTGAGTACATAATAAAAGTAACCAGTATGAAAATTGTTCAATCCGGAGAGATAAATGAAACTCGCCAATCTGAAACTAACGTACTTGTAGTTTACTGACTACAATCTCTGCACCACGAAAATGAATTGCAACTCTAGATATACGACTAAAACAGTACCACGGAAATATCTCATTGCTATCATGATCTCCATTAGGTAATCAAGGTATCATTTAAATATGTCTTAGTAACAATTCGCCATCATGCAAATGGGTTGTAATATTTGATCTGAGGAGTCAGTCAGTCAGTAACAACGTAGAACTTTGTATGTATTTATATCAGTTCAAGTTACCATACCATACTAGCACAGAGACACAATTGTCAGTTCAGATCCCATAATGGTAGAGATAGTAGAAGTATGACCATCAATCGGATAGATTAAGGTTTGAAGATGTTTATGAGGAATTCAAAAGATCAGTATTTGAGGGAACACAAAGAATTGATGCACCTGCGCTATTGCAAACGGCTTTCAGGCATGTCATTCAAGGTCTCTAACCATCGATTACTCTCATCTCGCGGACGCTAATCAGGTAGTCTAGATTTACCAACATGAATCAATCTAGATGTCAGTGACTTTATGGATTTGTTCCATGTTTTAGTTTGGCCGCCCCTATGTACCATACTAAGACAAGACAGCTCTTCAGTACTTTCTGGTTTCCAGTAACACCCTAATTGAGGCAAATTAGACCAATTACTGCAAGACTTCTAAATCAAATACTATAATTGTGTACTCTTTAGTCAATACAGTATTATTTAATTGTATTTATCCTGAATATTTGTGATTGATTTACACTTGCTTGGTACAATTATTTCTCAATCCGAATAATAGAAAAAACGTGTTCAAATGATTGAAGAAGCACAAAATGATGTGAATCAAAATCAAATGGTTAATGAAAATGAACAACTAGGCGGTGAGGATTTAGAATTCTTAGAAGCTATTCAACAAAATATGACTGAAAATAATGGTCGACTTGGTTTAGAATATGTAACGACGTAAGTAGCTAGCTCATTTCATTATAATCAATGATTATAAGCAATAAAATCCCATTATATGAATTTTCTGATTACACAATTGTCTAACTGAAAGCTACGCGTAAGAGTTTGTATTTTTCTGTGGTTGATGTGAATGACTAGAACTGATCAGTTTCTGTGGAAAGTGTTCAGTAAATAAAATTCACATCTCTTACACAAACTAGTGACTACCTGAAATCGCTAGCTTAATTGATAGTGAATTAGCTTTGAAATGAAATGTACTCTTTTCAAGTCTCATTGCGTCCCAAAATAATGCATCGCCCCTTGGTTTTCAATAGTCATTCAGCTGTAGACAGAGCAAGAATAAGACTGCCTTCAAGACGTTCTCCAAAAACTACTACATCATAGGTCCTCTCAGATCAGTTTCCAGAGGAATCTAGTAGTCTGGTTTGATCCTAGTTGAGACAAGTCAGCAAGATAAACCTGTAGCTAAATACTGATGTTTACATGACTGATAATAACCTTGTTTATCCGTTAAATAACCTACTGAGCATCAAAGCTCTTTATCCTCGTTTATAAAACTTTGGCATTTAAATCAACGAGTTCTAGGTGTAGGCAAATCTAGCTTACAAGTGGCAGAAAGAACAATTCGTCTGTTCAGAATCTCTTTGCAAACCATTGTGCACAATCTAATCAGCTGAAACTATACGTTGAAAGAATCTTAGTCTATTGAAAAGCAATTCACAATCAGTCAGCGTATAGAATGTAATTATGTTATCATTTGTGAAAAAAAGTCTCCTTTATAAACTAAAAAGTTTTTTATCATCGTAAAAATTATTCTCATTTTTTTTTATTTAGATTATTTCAAGAAAAACTTAACTCTAAACCATGTCAAAATCAAGGTTACATAATTGATGGATATCCTAAAACCAAGAAGCAAGCAGCTTCGTTATTTTCTCGTGAGTTCAGCCCTAGATAACATGATGACAATTGTCGTAATTATACTATAACCACACATTTATTTGATGCACAAAACAGACATTCAAACCGAATATACAACTAACTTGCTCAACAGTTATGATGTTTGTATCTTCACTGGTATTGGTTACACGAATCCCGAGATCGGGTGAAATGATCACTCTAATTTATACCGATAGCTTTAATCCGTTTATTTTCACAAATTCAAGTGAAGAACTAGTTAGTCGACTTACAAAATCAATCGACATACACTATATAAGACCTAGGATACCAGAGGATACTACTCATTTGTAGGGTGCTACCTTTTTCTAAGTTGAATTATTCTATCATAAAACATTCATTGCCATCGATTATGAGCCATATTATTTTATATTTCTATTATGTTACTGTCAGTTCATCATTTCAAATTAGTAATCTGTGTAGTATGTAAGTAAAGTACTTTGATAATGCCTGTATCTGCCTTATATCTTTAATCATTGTGCTTCTGACTGCGAATAAGCAAGTAGGATTTTAAAATTATGTTCAGAATGAGGTTATAACTGTCTATTTTAGACTGTTTAATTTTACTTAACCTATAAGAGAAATCGATGGGAGAAAGTGTTTTATCGAAGCGAACAAAGAAGGAAATGTAATAGGTGCAGAGTAAGTACATAATTAGTGAGATTTTTCGAAATATGATAAGCAATCAGGACGGTATAACTGAATTAAGTTGTATTCAATCATTTCATCAATCACTGTCATCTGTGTACGATTGAGATCTGAAACAAATAAAGTCTGAAAAGTTAGATCTTCAATTCACTAACGTGTAAGCGATTTAGGAAACTCGTATCTCCCGATCGTCTATTTCAAACGTCCTTACGTTTTCGCATATAAGTATGCCATTTCATTGGAGTGGAATAACTTTTATTCTGTCTTTTGATGTTATTCACAGTTTATGTCAAAAAACAGGTCTTGTAAATGGTTATCTGTATACATCCATCATTATTTTGGCAATTTAAATTCGGTTATACCTGAGTCCCAGTATGGACATCATCACTGAAATGAAGGTTACATCGGTTTTCGATTCCAAAACAGGATGAAAGCTGTTGGGAATGTTAGATCCCCAAAACTTGCTTGACAAATGCCTTATTTTGGTTTTCACGTTCGCCAGCATGGGCTGATCAGTTGACCTTGAGATTTCAATTCCCACCAGGAAAATCCATGGCTGTGACTGGCTGCTGTGCATTTTAGTATGTTATTTCTGTGACTATCCAAGGGACGTTTCTATGATGTATATATAAATAAACGAGAGTTGTATGCTTGATTGTACTGTGTGATTGCTAGGTGTTTGTAGAATATACTTTCTACGCTTACAAATCCTTCTTACCTTATTTTGTGGATTCGAGGTTGCCTACCTTGAAGCTGGTAAAAGTCTCGTTCGCGTTCATCGACTAAGGTAAACTCGTAATAATCTCAAGCATACTTAGTGACGAACCCAATAAAAACCTTTTAATCTGTCGTTCGATCTTATTTCATTCAAAGTTTTTGTCAATAAAATGGTCTTGTGAATAGTAATCGGTATACATCGATCATCATTTTAGCAACTTAGATTCGGTTATACCTGAGTCCCAGTAGGTTAAATCGGTTCTCGATTCCTAAACAGGATGAAAGCCACGCCTAGATTCCATTTATAGCCATCATTCAATTTTAATCCAAACTTGCGATTAAATGACAAGGATATACATATATCAGGCGAGATTGATCAGTTCCAGTAAATAACAAAAAACCATAAGAAAACACAAACTTCTACAAATTTAACTAAATCTGTAGCATACAGTACTATTACATACTTATGTGAGTTATTCCAGGTTTTAGACAGACTTTATAAAATCAAACAGCCTTTGATTATTGTAATATTTGTAGTGCGTGTACTTTTATGTCCAGCCGGCAAAGCATATCCCAAGCCCTTCAGACAAATTGACTAATCCATTCTACCTGAATAACTATTCCCTTTTATTTTGGTTATTTGTATTCGAGTATGTGTACGTAACACTTACTTGATTCAATACACGTCTAGCTACTTTGTCTGATCATAAATACTGCGTCGTTCTTCATCGCACAGAGTTGGCTCTCTCGCCTTATCCACTTCGTTTCGCTCTGCTTGTACGCTTTCTCATGTCTGTCCGCTCAAATGAATATATGAACGGTTGCTTGAAATAAACTCATTCAACCGTATCCGTATTAGGCTTCTAATTAACGCCACTCCTTTAAACGGGGTTCGCTTAAGTATTATGATATACTGAAACTGAAAGGAAGATTTATTTCATCGTATACTTGATCAATCGTAGGCAGAGGAATCAGCTCACAGGCCACTAAAGTAGCGAGCTCTACTTCAAGTTTAACACAGCCAGTAAACATTGAATCAAGAATAACTATGAAATTAATTAGGATATTCATTTTTTTTTCCCATCAAATATGTTTCAGCTGGCGGTGATAGCGGATACGGTGAAGATGAAGATGAAGGAGGCGAACAAGAAGAGAATGAAGAAGACGATGAAGATGAAAGAATTCGAACAACAACAACAACAACAACAACCGATACTAAAGACATGACACAGTCAGCTAGTGACCTATTGAAGAATAAATATTTATCATCTGAAAAAGAAGCCGATGATGTAAGCAAAGAACCAGCATTATTATCAACACAACCAATACCAACACAATTACCTAAAGGATTACTTCCTGCTTATGTGTTTGAATTACAAGCCACTGATCAATTTCTACGAGATCGTATTATGAATATGCCAGAATATAAAGTACATGGAACACATTATACTGAATCGGGGTTTTGGCGACGTTTAAATGAATATCGTACAAATCAAATTGGCATAAATCCAACTTTGTCGCCGACTCTAACTATACCTGGATCTCCAGGTTCTGAGCCGGAAGTTGAACAAGTCAATTCAAACTCGTTAAACGCATTAGGTTTGGCAAGTATCAATGAAAATTCTGTACGAGCTTATTTTGATGCAAAAGGTATTCTACAAATTCCAGTGAATATTATGACTGATGAAAGTGAAGTAAGTAATATTAATAGTAGTGATCAAAATTTATTTTCTTTAAAGCTTTACACGTATTCCTAACTGTCAATGTCATAGACTTCAATATTGTTCCCTGTTCGAACTAACTGTATAAATACGCATTATCTGTAACACATTACGACCCAGACCTGGTTCCCTAGTCCAGGATCCTGATTCTCTTCTGGACTCGGACTTCGTACTTTCTGGATGCTTGCGGAATACAGGTTCTACTTCATATCAAGTTTTCTTCTTCTACTCGATGGGGGTTTGGGATAGTTGGATTAGAGTAGCATGTTGTGTCGCCGGATCCTCAATCATCGCTCTCGTTTTCCGACTAACATAAACTCGCAATAATTCGAGCATATTAAAATGACGTGTTTATGTGCATGAGCAATATGTTCTTTACTAAATACATACACATAATCTTCAATCGCCTGTTTGTATGTGCATCACTTCAAGATGGCGGTAGGCTCTCTCCTCTCGTTTCTGTTTTGATCTCTAGGTTTCTCGAAGTTGCTAACTTCGGAAATCACTAGGCCAGGCTTCGGTGCATACTGTTGATAATCACTGAAATGCAGTTTATGACTTATATCTCCTATTCTGATCAATTATCATCTCTGTATTAAAAAGGTTTTCCAGAGAGAATTGATAAGATTTCTAAAAATATATTCTCGAATGTAATCATATTGATATTAAAGAGATATTGAAAAAAATTTGTAGCTCAAGTAGATGATCATGGTGGAGTTTAGTTCTCTGATCTGGATGTTTTGGAGCTTTCATTGTTCTCTTCCTGAACGAACATCATCAGCACATACTTCAGATAGAAGTGAAGTATTCGAATTTCTCCACCTATCAATCGTGAATGTGGACAAACTAGCACAGCCTAGTGGCCATTAAATAAGGTTTCTTTGCAAGATATTGATTTCCACTGCGGATCATTAATAGTTGCATAGAATAAAGTATTGTCTATTGCTTACTCTGATTCTTTCTTTTGATTGTGAATCGTTTGTCTGGTTTAATGTGATGCGTGATAGCATGTATCCACTTCATAAACCCGCTTATCCATCCAGCCTCAAATATTAATAACACCGTAGGAAGAAAAAATAGTTCAATCTGACCGTTATAATGTATGTTCAGACCAAGAATTAACATTGTTCATAGTAGCGAAGGCCAATCAGTGCTTATTGATATCTTAGGTGGTAGGAACATACTTTGCATATGCCTAACCACCGACTGCCTCGTCGAGCTATGCCTTGCGATGTAGGAATAGGTTGGAAGAAAGCTAGGGCCAAAACATGACACAAATCCATGAAGTCACTGACAACTGGCATGAGCCACGTCGGTAGGTGTCGACTACTTGGTTGGGGCCCGTGAGATGATAGTAATCGATGGTTAGAGACGTTGGATGACATGGCTCAGAATAGTTTGCAATGGCGCAGCTGCCTTCATTCTTTGTGTTCAGTCAAATTCTAACCTTCTGAATTCAATATCACCATCTTCTTCTTCATAAGTTTATTTCACCAGATTCTATTTATCGAATAATATCGTCCAACCCTAAAATTTCCGATTTCAGTAATACTATTGGATTTGAATTGACAATTGCATCTCTAAGTGCTAATGTGGTATGGTGACTTGAACTGATGTACGTACGTCAGAAGTTCTATGTTGTTGTTGTTGACTGACTGACTGACATTTCACTTCACAAAATGATTCATATTGTTGATTTTTATTTGCTTTAAAAATAATTTAAAAAAAAAACAGGAATTAGAACAAACATTTAAAAAATTAGTTTATTTCATTGGTCCACCACGTAATTATGGTTTATCTGATGAAGAAATTGAAAAGCAAAGATTATTTGTAGAAAAACAACGTATGGAATTTGAACGGGAAGAAAATGAAAGATTAAAACAAGAAATTGAAACTGCCGAAGCTGAACGTAATCAACGTATAAAAGAATGGGTAAGATATAGATAGTGTTTTCTTTTATTTTCAATGCCACATCACATAGATATATCTGTTAAAGAAATGAAATATATGTGTAAGTGGCAAGGGTTTGATAAAAGGTCATCAGGATGTGCTTTATACATGCCGGACCGCTACCTACTCCAACGTTATCTGGTAAGTAACATAGAAGTTAATACGGAGGATGGAAATTATAAGTTCTTCGATAGAAATGTTTGAAGTAGAAAAATTCTGTATCATTTGACATTTCTAGTTTGTGTTTCAACCAAATGAAAGAACCCGAAAAATAGAATAATTCAAAATATAAAGCTACTTATTATTGTTTTCTATGAAGATTGTTCACAGAACTAAAACGAAACCAAATGGCTCAATAAATTAAACATATTGGTCACTAGTCAGTGATCAATCAACTTTAAATCTCAGTTGTACAGTAGATAACCGAAAACCCAAATAGCTAACTAGTAAAATCTCAAACTATGGCGCTGGGTGACATGAATTCAAGCCACATAGGGAGCATTAGCTTTGTCAATACACCAGTTATGTTTCGCCAATGATTGTCAACTGTCTTGAAATTTAGGTTCAGTATTCTTTGACGAATACCTCTAAACATCTAACATGAAAGTGGATAGAAGTATTTACGAAGTGCAACTATAAAAATTGGGCTTGTATTCAGTCCTCAGCTGTTTTGTGTTCTCAAAACCATCAACATCTAGCACTTTCAAGAATCTTTTGGTCTATCATTGAGGATCAATAAGAAAGGATGGCCATCAACATTACGCCATAGATTCAGGCTACATCTGCTACATCCCACGAAATATAATTAAATAAGCTATAAGTAGGCTATAGGCATAAAGCATCTTGAAACTGATTATGCCTTTTATGAGTTATCGTAGTACAGTGCTAATAGACTTCATCTAAAGGAGTTGTTAAAAACAATTTATTTACTCTATGATGAGCTACAAAACTAATTTGTCGATTGTTATTGCAATTAAGTGACACACTGTTACGCATACACGTAAACATGTCATTTTGATATGCTTGAACTAGTACGAGTTTACCCTGGTTGGAAAACGAGAGCGAGGATCGAGGATCCGGTGACACAACATGCTACTCAAATCCGAGTGTCCCAAACCCCATCGAGTAGAAGAAGACTCGATGTGAAGTAGAACCTGTATTCTACAAGCATCCAGAAAGTACGAGGTCCGAGTCGAGAAGAAGATAAGGATTCCGGACTAGGGAACCGGGTCTGGGTCACAAAACGTTACGTTAGGATATTTGATAAATATCCAAACAGACACACAAATAATTATAATTTGAATTTCACATTCTAATGTTTATCACTTATCTCTTGGTTTGTCATGGCCAATGCTCGAATCGGGTTAACAGGCGTGAATAAGTAAGTCATGGTTTGTCATGTTTCAGTAGTATCTACCGGAAAAGCACACCTAGCATAACCAGGTACTCTTTGTTGAATCGAGTTTCTCAAGTTAGTTATTGTCATTTCAATCAATCCATAGATTGCTTAGAAGTTTATAAAAACAATTGAGCACCAAGGGTTTATTAGAAAAATCCTTTACCTACAAGTCACTTATATTCGCCATGATTTCTATTCGTCTTGGAAATCAATTTAATTAAAACATTGAATCCCGTTGATAAATTTGGATGATGCGCTGAGAAGACGAAGGTTTTCTGATATATTAAGGTAACCTGATACCTATGTAATACCTAAAAGGTCAACTAGAAAAGCTAGAATGTAGCAGGAAACAAAGCCAATAATAAAGTAGGTACGTAACGTGAAAACCACGTTGGGTTACGAGTAAGAACAAGCTTGTGTTGAACTCAAAGAGGGATTTTCAGTTTTCCCATAGCCAAGGATTCAATAAACCCTAGTATACGCTGTTGAACACCTTCACATAGCACTACAAAGGTTGACTTGATATCAGCTATATGACCTGTCTCAAACAAACTTTAACCAGTTTTGACTAAAATGACTCTGTACATAAATCCTAACCCTACTTTTGAATTTTTAAAAGTAACAAATGAGAACTTAATGAAAGCAGACCAACCAAACACTTATTACTACACAAAGTAAATTCTACGCTGAACAGTTTATAAACTACATCAACCACGTTTTTATTTTTCCAAGTTAAAGAACAAATGACAAGAAGTTAGAAAATACTCTCATAACTACCCTAACGCCGATATAGTTGTATTTAACTAGAATTCTCATACGATTCAAAACTTGTTTTCGTTTTTTTCCCCTTGTAACTTATAGAAAGAGAAACATGAAGCTTTGAAAAAGGAAGAAACCGATTTATTAAACGAAGAAGCAGAACCATTAAGAGCTTATTTACGAAAGCATATTATGCCAGTATTAGCAAGAGGACTAACAGAATGTGTTCGTAAACGTCCAGATGATCCGTTGGATTTTCTAGTAAGTATTTAGCGAATGAATTTAATACTGTGTTAAATTCAATATGTGGCTTCACGTTCTCTTCACAAAGAGTTGGGAGAAAGAACAAGTACATACAGACTGGAAAAATAGATACCTCATCAAGAAACCAAAGAAAGATTTTATTAAGTGTGGTAACTGCAGAGACATCACACTACTGTCAGTACCAGGAAATCTTGACCAGACAGTGTAGTTGAACAGAACGAAAGATCCAAAAGGAGCCCATTTTCAAGTTCAGAAAGCTAAATTCTTTAACGATCGATCGTGTACCGATGAAATTGTGACATTATGGATCACTACTAAACGATCAGTTGAATGGAACTCACCACTCTACATCAGCTTTTTTTAACTACAAGGAAGCATTTGACAGCGTGGACAGAACATTATGGAGCCTTCTTTGACACTACGGTATACCTGAGAAGGTAGTCACCAACATACGAACTTCTTGCGACGAACTACACCACAGAGTTGCGCACGGGAGGTAGCTGACAGATTCATTCCATGAAGGCAGGAGTCAGATGAGGTTGCTTACTCTCACCTTTTCTCTTTCTTCTGACGGTTGACTCGATTATGAAAACCTCCAAAGAATCAGTTGCAAGTAACTCAACCATGCAGTAGGTCCATCGTAAATTCAATAGCTCACTGGTAACATTTTAGAATGTGAAACTGGGTAAAATGAGGCGGAATTCACTAGGCAGTGTCAGCCTCCTCAAGATAATTAATAGCTTGTTAACGAGTTCCCCACATCGCAAAATCCCCAGATTCAGGATTGTCTATCAACTCCATTAAACTGAACACAATACTAGTGTCGATCACTGACAAAACTTTTGACGGATGCAGATTTATTTCAGTCTCTAGTAGTAGTATTAACCACGCTAATGGAAAAAAACATACATACAGATGACGTTCTATTTATGACTGATAGCATAAGTAGACTTACAAAAGAATACTGAAACGAGAAAAATTGAAACAGACGGAATAAATGTTTCTCAAGATGTTTGCTAGGACCAGCAAAATATGACTGTATTTGTAAGAAACACTAACAATGTTGATACCCATCAGAAGCAATACTGACTGATTTCACAATAGTTTCGTTTAGTATTCATTGTAAATTAAACACTATTCACTTTCAGATCTGCAATAACAGACCATATATTTAGTTAGTCTGATTTGTTAATTTTAAATAAATTACTAGGTATTTTTATGATATAAATAGTTCTTACACAAGTAATTCTATTAATAGTCGTACTATTGATGATTATTGCAACTTTTCCTACAGCCAGGGATTTTTCGGTGTAGGAAGGATTTGATTGTGACCAACTTGGTCTCATGTGCTGTTATGGGTAGTAGGGCGGATTTCACTTCCCGGCTACCCACACCGTGGGTGTTTCTTGAAGAACATGAAAAGGAAGGTAGATTAGTGTTGGTCTTAGAGACCTGGTTGCGTGACTGCAGAGTCCAAGGGACAACTGCTTGAGACAGGCCACGCACAGCCTTTTAATTGGTAGTATTTTAAGTGTTAGCTCCGTTCCTTTTAAAAGGCCTTACCGCCGGTGACGAAAATCCGTGAAGTAGGGTGAGGTGTGACATTTTTAGGGTCGACCTTCTCCAACCCATTCCTTCCTTGTGAGAAGGCAGCATCGCTGCAGATGCCGATTGTCCGAGGGAAAAACTTTACTGCTGTTACACCTCTCTACAGTTAGTAGTACGACCTCGCCCTCAAACTTTGAGTAGCTGCTTTTAGTCTCATCGTTCTCCAATCGACCTGCCTAGCATGGTAGAACCTTCAGGAACATATGTTCCAGCCAATATAGCTCGGTTGGGTCATCACGACAGGCAAGCCCGACCACCACGTCAAAGTAGCAGCTACGGTCGGGGGAGGGGTTTAATATCCAAATAATAAAAAATCATCAGTAAATAAGACTGTTTAAGGTGGAGTGTTGAAATTACGACTAATTAGCTCTTGTTATCAAATCCTTCAGTTATAATTAATTAGAATTACCACTTGTAATCAACATCAAATCACAAAAAGTGATACACTATAATCTTTAGCTGTTTAATTTTTTGCATCGGGGTCTTGTTCTATTTTGTTTTTGAAATCATCAATCAATCATTGTTAGACCATCATTAGGAACTTGGAAGCACTGGACCGCTGTTTAATCCTGCAGTGCGCATCCACGACTCCTACACCTCACAGGACTCGAACCCAGGACCTTCGGTCTTGCCTTGTTCTAATTAACACACCAAGTTTTTTTAAATGCTATTAAACTGGAACTTAGTATGTTTTTAAGTTCACTGTACAAATAATTTTTCAAATCGAATCCAACTATTGAACAAAATTAGGACTAATAACAAACAATCTGGATTTACAACATGAATGCATAGAGTAGTGAAAACAATGGGATATTATTAAATTTGAAAGGGGATAGTAATTCCAAGGCAAAAAGATACAATAAAGACATGGAACACTATAGTCGAGATTGAAGTACATTAATAATAATAATACTAATAGTGAAAATCAGTGATTATCTAATTAATTAACATAACCAGGATAAAATCAACTCATTTTACAGGAACGTTAGTTGATCACAAAGCAGTTATTTGGTCATCGATCTGACGCCAAGACACTGTGAGATCCGCTTTCTCAAACGAAATAACATCATCAGTCGATTGAAAACATCTACAAGTTCTAGCATTTTGAATAGGGAATATTTCCCATACCAGGAAAATGCAATATTCCTTCCTTATTTTCAAGCAGACAACTAAAAGATAGATTCTTCAAGTGCAATGCTAAACATCTAAATGTCCTAAAGATAAGGCTTGAAATATTAGTAAAAATAATAAATGAAACCGTTTGGTGGCAATTACTGGTTATAATTGAATTTACTTAGTTTAACAGAGGCCATTAATACAAACCAATTATCTAAAGAGGAGGAAAACAGAATAATTTATGATGAAGCACAACTCTTCACAACAGTTTGTGTATTGTTGTAGCAGAGTGGAGGGTGATTTTATTACCTAAAGGTTAAGCGGCTCACATTCTATCCTCGTAAAGGTCATGGATGCATCATATTACTACCAGTCTGAATAAACGAACCGCTTTAAAATACAATACACACTCATTGTATACTGTAAATAATAGTGAGTGATACGTGTACTTTGTTTAAAATGATCAATATAACTAAAAAAATCTGCTGTTTCTCATGTATTATTAAATTTCAGGCTGAATACTTATTTTACAATAATCCACAAGTTGATTAAAAAAAATGTCCTAAACATTCAATTACTACTACTACTACTAATACAATGAACAGATAAACAAAATTATGTCATACAGAAGTGAATCGATAATGTGAAAACATCTTCCTCAATAGCAACAACAAAAAACTATTAATATGTACGTACCTAAAAAGGAATAAAAAAAGGCCTAATCGTGTAAAAATCAAAATCGAAACTTTACTTATAATATTCTTCTTTTCATACTTTCAAATTATCATGATTGTAATTTTTTAGTAGCAGTTGAGTTTTTTTTTAATAAATATTTATTCCAATACCATGGCAACTGATAATCTTCAACTTAGTTTGTCAATAATTTTCATAATTTGCACACTAGGTAAGATATTATTCATTGTGGTAAACATAGAGGAATCAGTTTAACTAACATAGTTTCTAAACTATTAGCCTCGATCATACTTAAACGCCTAACTAGAGCTCGTGAAGAGCAGACTGGAGAAAACGAAGCTGGTTTTAGACCCGGATGTGGTTGTATGGACCACATTTTGACAATACGACAGATCCTGGAACACAGACACACATTTTGACACATGTGTTCCTGGACCTGATCTGACTAGGGATCGTGAGGTTCTGTGGCGGTGTCTGTCATTGAAAGGTGTACCAAAGAAGTACATTAACCTTACACAAGCCCTATACTCGAACACCACTGGTCGGGTGAGAGCCTATAGCGAACTTTGATCAGGAATCTTTACTTCAAGTTGTGTCCGTCAGGGATGTCCACTCTCTCCATTCTTGTTTAACTTTGTCGTAGACACGCTTTTAGAGTTAACTTTATCCTCGTCAGATTTTTCAGGGGTGAACCTTCTACCAGGAGGATGGCTTATTGACCTAGAATATGCTGATGACATATTACTATTCGGTGAAGACGCTGGAAAAATGCAGTCTTCTGACTACCCTGTGCAACAATGCAAGCTTGGTCAGGATGCGGTTTGCCTCCTCGAAATGCAAAATGTTGCTTCGAAATTGGCTTGCATCGGTACCTGAACTAGTGATAGGGAGTGAAGTGGTTGAGCGTGTCGACTGGTTCACTTACCTTGGGAGTCTCCTCAGTGCTAACGGTCTGGTGACTTAGAAATCCCAGCAAGGATACAGAAGGCCCGATTGGGTTTTGCCGATTTGTGTCACTTATGGTGTAGGCGAGATATGCGTCTGCTAAGTTTATTTCACGAGATTCTACTTCTCGAATAATATCGTCGAACCCTAATCCCTTCGATTACAGCTTATACTTCTACTACCTCTATTACTATGTGATTTGAACCGACAATTTCGTCTCTGAGCTAATGTGGTATGGCAACCTGAACTGATGTACGTGCGTACAAAGTTCTGCGATGTCACTGACTGACTGAACATGTTATTCAAACGTCAGACACAGTTTTCAGTGGGTTCCAATTCTCTGAGTTGAAGGATTTAGTCGTGAAACTTCCACTGTTCGTTTGAACATTATCATCAGCACAAACATCAAGTAGAGATGAAGTATTCAAATTTCTGTACTTACGGCTAACAGCTTGTCTTATTTACCTCCACCTTGATTGGCTACTGTCGATGTTCAACCAATAACCAATCAAGACGGAGGTAAACAAGAAAAGCTGTTAGCTATAAGTACAGAAATTCGAATACTTCACTTCTACCTGGTGTTTGTGCTGATGATAGTGTTCAGACGAATAATGGAAGCGCCACGACTAAACCCTCCAGATCAGAGAACAAGAACCCAAAAATTATCCACCAGCTATACATTTTTTCTTCACCGTTTTAAAGTTAGATAGTGTTTAGAATCATTGCAAAAAGCTCACTACCTCATGTTGATCATATGTCTTACTATCCAACACTGGAAAAACGCCGTTCAAATAACTTCGCTTATTGATCATGGTTTTTGACTATTCATATTGACACAGAAAGATCTTAGCTTTCCATAGGTAGAATTTCTAGTAGCTAGTATTAGTAGTATGTACATATTTAGTTAATTTCATCAGCGGATAATCATTGAGAATCCACGAAGACCCTGTACTTACATTCATTCTTAAATATCTGCCGCTGTAAATAATTAAGCTTACGTCTCCAGATAAACAATCTGACATTATTGTTGCTAATGTAATAAGAGATAAAACTAGTTTCAGTGCAATCAAAGCCGAATCAACATAGACTACATTCAGTGGCGATGAATCATGATCGTTAGAGATCAAATGTACAAGGTTCTAATATTCGTAACAATGTTTTAATTGTGAAACTTAACCGTCTATACAACAGATAATTCCAACGGTTTTGCCTTAGAACTCTCTGTTATGACAGTCTAAGTAATGTTGGAAATGATTAACTTATGTCTAGGCATTATATAGAGATTGGTGTTTTCAATATGAACAGGTAGATTTACAAACTCTGATATTTCACATATCATCCTATTAAATGATAGATTGAGTAAAAGTACATAAGAAAACAGTTAGTTTGTAACATGAATCTGATGGAATTAGTAATGATTGCGTTCACCTAGTGTATAAATTAGCAGATCACTACATTTTAAATAAGCATCCGAGTCATTAAGTAACTCAATTGTTTGTGAATTTATTAAGTTGAAATCATCAATCAATCATTGTTAGACCACCATTAGAAACCTGGAAGCACTGGACGGCCGTTTCGTCCTGGTATGGGACTCATCAGAAGTGCGCATCCACGAATCCTGCTCCTCGCAGGATTCGAACCCGGGACCTTCGGCATTGTAGGCGAACGCCCTACCATCGGACCACTGGGCCGGCATCCAACGGTGTTAATGTCTAACTCTGATTGATCTAGGGATTTTGCGCGACCTCACCCATTTGTCTTTGGTAGTTACTGTCTACACCCGACAGGGTTGAACTCCATTGGTCACGTCTTCTCAACTAGAACTCCGAGAATTTCTTCACGAAGCTAGTCACTAGTGAGCACTGTTACGATATTTTGGGGCACAGTTTTGGAGGTTTGCGATTTTTTACACATTTGAAATCATCAATCAATCATTGTTAGACCACCATTAGAAACCTGGAAGCACTGGATGGCCGTTTCGTCCTGGTATGGGACTCATCAGCAGTGGTAGGGCGTTCGCCTACAATGCCAAAGGTCCCGGGTTCGAATCCTGCGAGGAGCAGGATTCGTGGATGCGCACTGCTGATGAGTCCCATACCAGGACGAAACGGCCGTCCAGTGCTTCCAGGTTTCTAATGGTGGTCTAACAATGATTGATTGATGATTTCAAATGTGTAAAAAATCGCAAACCTCCAAAACTGTGCCCCAAAATTTATTAAGTAACAGTTATATCGATTTCGACAAACAATAAAATGTTGCTGTTAGTGAAATTCGATCGTATGAAGTATGTTTCAGTGTGACCAATCTATGAAGTGCATGTTCGATAAATAGATTGATACAAATGGCGTAGACTATGTTACATTATATAAATAATACTAAATGTAATATGGTTAGGCGTTCGAGCACAATACCGAAGGTCCCGGGTTCGAATCCTTCGAGGTGCAGGAGTCGTAAATACGCACTGCCACTGATGAGTAGTCCCATACCAGGATGAAACGGCTGTCTTTCAGTGCTTCCAGGTTTCTAATGGTGGTCCAGTAACAATGATTGATTGATTGATGATTTCAAATGTGTAAAAAAACAAATCTCCAAAACTCTAACTGAAAATAAATGTAATATGTCAAGAAAACATTACAATTCAGCAATAGAAAGGGTTGTATTTTCAGAGAAAGAAAATTAATTACAACACTGTACACCATAAAATATATCTAATGAATTCTATCGTTTCATTTCACCAAGATTTTCGATTAGATCTTTATCAATCTACAACAAGACAAAAAATAATAAATTGTTTGAAATTCATTAGTCAGCAATTAGAAAAATGAAACCACTAAAAGTAATGTTCATAAAGTATACACTAATAATATTAATGAGTGGGCGTCCTGTAAATTTGACAGTGGTGTTTGTTAAAAAGATTAATCTCAGTTGAGGAATCATAGAAAACCAGTGAAGATCGGACAACTAACTGTTTTGTCCTACGCCAATCAATTTGTGATAAAATGCGCCAATTGTCTAATGTCATTGAGCATTGTTTTACTCTCAAGGTATCTAAACTACACCGGTCACAACTACTTATTAGATAGAATCCATGATCTCTCTTTGAAACAAGTTAATCAATCAATCAACAGTAACGCAGAAATTAGAACGTACATAAGTACATCAGTTCAAGTTGTCATATCACATTACCACAGAGCTGTAATTGTCAATTCAAATCCAATAGTAGAAGAGGTAGGTTAAGGTATTAGAAGTAATCCGAGAGGTTAGGATTAGAAGATATTATTCAAGAAGTATGATTCAATGAGAAAAGTTTAGAAAGTCAAAACTAGAGGTGTTGAAGAATCCAGAAGGTTAGGATTTGAGAGAGCACAAAGAATAAATGCACCTACGCCATTCCAAACGGTTTTGAGTCATGCCATTCAAGATCTCTAACCATCGATCAACCCGCGAACTCCAACCAGGTAGTTGACACCTACCGACATGAAACAAGTTGCTAAAAGGTCATATAATGGTATAGGTCTTTTTTTAGATTAATTTTCGAGATTATTTTAACCGAAAACAATCAGTAAACAATACCACCATTAACTACAAACCCATAAATAACAATGAACCAGTTTTTCGACTTATATCTACTGCAGTGAGTTTCATCTAGTGTAACTCATTTATACAGTACTATATAATCTATTCGGATTTGAAATGCACTCAATGTGAGCAGTAGTAATAGCATTTGTTTAGTGAGATAGAAAGAAATAAAAGGGAACTTTTGAGCTGTTTTAGTGGTTTTAAAGTCAAATGATTTAACCATCACTAAGCTTGAAAAATCTCATCAAAATTAATCCTTTAAATGACTGATGAAAAATTCAGTATGCAATAACGGTTTAACATTTCTTGTAAATAATGGTAAATTTTTCCAAGAGAAAGCAACAAACAACCTTAACTATCATCACTTTCGAAATGTTTACATAAGACCGGCTGCACCTTAAGCAGTTTACACGCATCGTGGTGAAGTTTCGTTCTTTGACCTGGATGTTTAGCTTGTGGAGCTTTCACTGTTCTTCTGAACAACAACATGATGATGTTGGTTTGGAAACATTGATCTATTTTCATCTTTTAAATTGTTATGTAAGAGGGATATTTAAATTCTGTGATGCGAATTACCAGGGATTTATTTAAAATAATATATTCGTAGTATTCCAATGAGTTATCTGTCCCAATATTTGCAACAAAACCAAAGTCTCTTTTTCTTTTCATCCGTCAATCTAATCAATATTTCTACTGATAAACTTGTTATTCACATCATACGTTCAACTCCTTACTATTCAACTGTTAATGTTTCGAGCCCAAAAATTACAACTCCGAACTGTCGATAAATTATACAATATCCCATGAAATTTAACTCTTAAAGTTGCATTGATAAAACCAAAGATAACTAGAGATTTAAGAATGTTAGCAGAATGCGACAAAAAACACTATGAACAGGCTGTAAATTAAGAGCCGGATGGGAAAATAACTCTCACCTCTGGCCATTTCTCTACCAATATATTGATTAATTCATCTTTTACATCTCCTTGAATCACAATTTCATCACCATTCCCTGTGACTGAACTACCAGTTGCAAATTTGTGACCAAATACTTTGGAAGCCGCTTTTAGATCAATCCCTTAATTTAAAAAAAAAACAAGTTCATTGACAAGACTTTTTGTTAGGATATTCATCCAATATCCAAAAAGAATTATTGGTCAATTCCTATTGGTTAATTCCTACTGATCAACTTTATGGTCGTCCTAGATATCAATGTCACGTGCTCCAATGTTGTTTCTTATTGGTTGTCCTGACTATCGATGTCACTTCAAACGTTGCTTCCTATTGGTCGTCTTAACTGTCAATGTCACAAACTTCGATGATGTTCCCTATTCGACCAACATGTATAAATAGGCATTATCTATAACATTTTATGACCACGACCACGACCAGGACCCGGTCCCGGATCCCTAGTCCGGGATCCCGATTCTCTTCTGGACTCGAACCTCGTACTTTCTGGATGCCTGTAGAATACATATTCTACTTCACATCAAGTCTTCTTATTTTTACGCAATATGGGGATTGGGATAATCAGATTTGAGTAGCATATCGTGTCGCCGGATCCTCGATCCTCGCTCTCGTTTCCCGACTAGGTAAACTCGTAATAGTTTAAGTATATCAAGTTGACGTGTTTACGTGCAGGCGTAACACTTTTCAGCCCATCATAAAAATACGATTTCTTGGTTGGCTTCCTTTAGCTATTAATTGATGATACCTAAGAATCAATTTCTGCGCAGCAAAATGTTAGTAGCTATATGAATAGTTTATGACATTCCGAATCAGTTATTCACGAATACAATTATTTAGATTTTCAACGTAATGAGCAATATTTAAGGTTGAGAGTTCAGTTTGAATTTCAATAGCGCTTGAGTAATCGACGAAATCCATGTCCTTTAACAGCGTGTACTTCACAACCAACCTGAAACGACATTTATTTTCCTGTTAATAATTTACTTGAATGTTAAAATATCTGCTCTTCTAAATAGAGTGGTCTTATGAGTAGTTATATTACTTGATTACGTCTGATTATTAATTATATTTCACCTATCAATCAGAATTCTACTTATTTTAACAATCATTCTTCGAATTAGGAAATTTTAACCCATATAACATTTCCATCCGACTTTGGATATAATAATTTGATGTACTTATATCTTGAAATAAGTTGTTTCGGGTGTAAATGAAGAAATAACCAGTGCAGTTAAACAATTAGAAGCAATTAAATAATGAGTTTTAGACAAAACTGTAAAATAAAGAACTAAAATACATGGGGTATTTTTTCGGTGAACATGACTTAGTGATTGAAAACTGGGTGTTTAAATCGATCAGCAACTGAACATCAAGTGTTTCAGCCATTTATTCTGCTCATCAGTACATTGACGATAGAAACTGCATCAATGCCCAAGTAAACGCTACTAACTTAACCATGATTTAAAGTTTTTACTTATATCTTTATGCTAAAGTGATTATAAAAATAGCACGACGACCGAGGAAATTAAAGTTACAGTTTCAAAACATTTAGTCATTCACGACTAACTGATGTGAATTCAAACGATAAAAACAAGATTTTAAAAGTACTAAAATCGGATTATTTTGTTGCTAAGATGTTTTGTACTTCATGCATACAAAAATGCTTCATTTCATTAAACCGAATGTCTCCTCTTTTTTTCAAGAGTCATTTAGTTTAGAAACTGATAACCATTACAACAAATCGGTTGACTCAGTTTTAACTCGCGTTCCAGCATCAATTAACCAGGATTGTATATTATACTTGTAATAGTTGAAGTCGTGATCATAATACCACTAAATATACTTTAAATATCAAGTATTATATCATTTCCTTTTTCGACAAAACAATTGAGATGTAAGGAACTGTTTAAGTAACTATGAAATTAATGCCCGCGTCTGAAATACACTACTAATATACCATCATAGGAGGGTTAATTAATTACTCAGATAATAATGTAAATTACAAAATATAAACGTGTACCTACCGAATGTGGACAGTCCAGTGACACTTGTCGTATATTTTTTCTTGCCTCTTGAAGTTTTAAATACTGCTACCTGTTGTTTTACTGGTTTTTTCGGTCCTCCTTTTCCACCCCTAACTTGACGACCTTTAGGAGCTGCTTCAATTTGATTTGAATCTATTTCATATTTCAAGTATGACGAAAATTGAAAGCATACCAGTATTAAGTTGTTCAAATTCTTCCGGTAGATTTTTCTCTAACCACGCTCGACATTTCTCAGGAAATTGTGAATATTCACAGTACTCAAGAGGCATAGTGCATTCTATATGAAAGTATTTTATAATCAAAAACACTAACCACCACAGTACTTGATAGTTAAAGGATATGAAACATCAGGGTCTGGCCCTGCTCGTGGCATATACTCATAGTTTTCAGTCATTACAGGTCCTGATAAAATAAAATTATGAATATAAATGGTAAGAAAGATAGTGAAATCAATAATGTTTGGCATTAGTGCCTTTGGTTCAGATGTTAAAAAAAGTCGATTGGTCATAAACGTAATTAGCATGTTGCTCTTTGTGCTAGCTTAGAACAGAAATCAATGTTTGTCACAACTATTTCAAAATTAATTATAAGCACATAAAAGCTCAACATATCTGATGCTCAAGCACCGTAACATTAGTTTAAATATGCCAAGCTTGCTTTCATTTGAATCATTAGATACAGATAGATATATCAGGTAGAGAACCCAATGGTTATTTCAGTCCAAAGTTCAATAACATATGAACATAGTAAGGAGTAGATGTAGCTTTATCTAAGTTAACGAGCACTATTAAAGGAGAAAAATCGTGAGGACGCTGCTCTACGATTTACAAAGTTATTTAACTAACAGACAGATAGCCAGGCCCACATCTTGCCAGGTTTAAGTGGTCAGTCAGTCAGTTACAACGTAGAACTTCGTACGTACATGCACCAGTTCAAGTTGTCATACCACATTGTCACTTCAAATCTCATAGTAATAGAGGTAGTAAAAGTATTAGCAGTAATCGGAGAGATTAGGGTTCGAGGATATTATTCAAGAAGTAGAATCTAGTGAAATAAACTTAAAAAGAAAAGGATCAAAGCGATGAGGAATTTAGAAGATAAGGATTTGAGAGAGTGTAAAGAGTGGATGCACCAGCACCATTGCAAACTATGTTGAACCATGTCATTCAAGGTCTCTAACCATCGATTATTATTAATTCGCGGAGCCCAACTTGGTAGTCTGCACTAACCAACATGACTCAGTCCACATGTCAGTGAATCTATGGATTCGTGCCATGTTTTGGTTTGGCCAAAATATCCTGATACGGTCGAGAGTGAGGAGCGTCTGCTACCTCTTGAAATGCTTTCACATGACCAAGCGTATACACCCACTACCAGGGAAGACCTACATACCACCTCGTTGCAGGGGTGTGTAAGAAATTGGAAAGACGAAGAGCGAGTGTCCATAGCTTTAAGCGGGTTGGTAAGTATGGGGGATTTGCTTAGATGAGTTAGAAAACCTTGGTTCTAAACTAATGGTACACATCGGCTACAAGACCCTGGAGGAATGAATGATGTACGAATTTACTGCTGGTCACCTGCTACCATGGGGCTGCATCTCCTCATGCTGCTTCACTGTCATGTGGATGAGACTTTTGAGTCAAAGACTGGGAATGGAGCCCCCGAGGAAAACTACCTGCTTCGGTTCGGGCATTACCCTTACCCACACAAATTCAGTAATTTGCGCTGCGCATGAATATTCTGGCACTTTTTGAACCAATGCTTTGTTTGGTTAAAAAAATCAGATACCTGATCCTATGATGGTTTTTTCGATTGTTTCTTTTTACACATACTACTGATGTTTTCCACCAAACTGATTACCGAAAACTAGTTGGCATGTTGAAAAAGCAATAAAGTATAGGTCGTATAACAAGCCTCAGTAAAAGATACAGCTGAGTACTTCTATGGCTAGTTTTCACTGATTTTGTGGTCACACAGTGAGATTAAATTTAATACTTAATAGGGTGACGTAAGCAAAAATGAGGCCGAAGCAACTATTATCTGGTCTAGACCAGCTACCACTTATGCATATTCTCAGTCAAAGTTCGGAAAGCGAGTTGTTTGGTTAACTGAATTACCACAAAATACTCATCGCCCTAATGTTACATGATACACTAAGGGCACTTCTGGTCAATTGGAGAGATTAACATACCACGTGGTACGTGCGTTAAGGTAGACAATTTTGGATTGGCTATTCTACTTCATTTTAGGACGTTAACCTGCTAGTCTTTATTCGATTGTCTCCAATATTTAGATGGCGAAACATATTGTTTTAGAATCACCACGAAGTCAAACATGATGTACACATGCGTACTGAGAACTTACAACAAAGCTGGAACGCAATAAGCAAACATTGCGCCCAACACAGGATGTGTCCAATATCCAACATCTTTTTCATTAGCTGATGTACACCAATTTAATTATTCGCACTCGACTCCTGTTCGTTCGGTAAGGTTGGATGTAACTGCTAGAGTCCAATGGGTGTTTGTCAGGCCACTTAACCTCACTAATTAAAATCGGTCGATAGTTATTTATGAATTTTAGAACAACACATATAAGTGAACAGTATTTTTTTCAGTTAGGATGTCGTCAGGCTTTAGTCTAATATACAGGGCAATTTGAGTCAATAATCACATTGGAACAGACTGCATCGCTAAACATAAAAGCACAAGTTGATAATAGGAAGACAGGTGTATTGATGGTAGTAAGAATAATAAAATACGACAGATCAGCGTTTGAAATAGTGGGAAAACCGTGGATAAACAGACTTAAAATAATCATTATAGAGCATTAAAACCGTTAGTTAACAAGAAGTGTGTAAACAATTAGATTGTAAAGACTAAAAACGAGAACAAGTAGAAAATTAAAACAAGTACAGGATGTGGAAATGATGCCAAAATAACAAAAATAACATTTTCATTTAAATTTTCATGTATATTGGAGTAAATCCTGATGACAATCTAACTGAAAACAATGTTGTTCGCTTATGTGTGTTGTTCTAATTTTCACAATGGGAATCTTTAATATTTATTAATTCGTATGTCCCAGAATTTAAATGAGTACGTTTGTATCGAGGGAGTTGTTATTAACTTCATATATTTGTGCCATGTTTTGGTCTGTACGCCCCTTTCCTTCTTCCAGAATACTCGTAAATCACAAAACATCGCTCGTGGGGCAGTCGGTGGTTGGGCATTAGTAATATATATCCCGAACACATTTTTACACCTATAATGACCGACCGCAGTGGTTGACCTGTAAAAACCCAGAAGTTGTTTTAAATCCTCTGTTAAGGACCGTTTTTGTGGCGGCAATCTGATCCTGGCAATAAAATGGTCGTTTTTCAAACCTTTATCATAAGTAGGACTCTGTGTGTGAAAGGGAGAATGGACGTACCTGGAATTTTAGGCTCGAAGTTCTATCTGTGACCATTTTATTCTTACACTAAGAGTGATTATAATCTACCCCTTTCATCACTAAACGTAAGTCTGTTCTTAAATGTTTCACTAATAATGGACTTACTTTTTTCTTGATCTTCTTTGTTCATGCCTTCTGCTCTGCATGTCACATCAGAAATCAAAGGGTCTTCAGGCTAAATGCAAAGCTGCACTGTTGTATGTTGGTGAATATACAGCATGGTAAAAAGCCGATCGGGACCGAGAACGCGGCCAAAGTTTTGGCCCTCAATCTATAATATTAAGATGAACATCATCATCGTAACAACAGATCCAGTAAAAAGATTTGTCAGGTGCCCTCTCTTGGATTTTTGCATAAAATTTATCCAACCCTATTTTTCATTATAGGGAATGTCAGTTTGTGATGAAATAGTCATCCGCAGACCTTCAGTCCTAACCCTTTATGCACTGACGGAGATGTAGAGTTCATAAGCCAAATCTGGTCCATATAAGATACTGAAAAGGTCGATGATCTTTATCCATTCGGAGTTCGTTATGTTTTTTACGGTTTACAGGTAAAGAAAATTTAACGCATGAGTACACTTCAGATTGTTAAAACGGTCTTGAACATACTGTCTTCAATCTTAAATAGTCTGTCATCCATGCAAAATGGATTGCTCTATGCCTGTTCATCAAACACTCTGTCGAGTCCACTCCTGTCAACGACTTACTTCAGGTCAATGAAGTTACACTACGCTACTAACTACACGTAGTTGAATGATACTGTCACTGATGTATTATCGTACTGCTCGATTAGCTCTAATAAATGTCAATATGCACTGCATGAAACGACAGGGAATAATGCTGGTACTGAAGTGTTTATTAAGGATAAACAGTGAGGAAGTCAAAGATGGTTTGTAATGAAAACAATTTATTTATGTAGAGGCAGACACATTTGGGACATTCCGATATAAGAGAATCGTTTCATGCTGTTTAGGGTCATTATCCGTTGTAATGGGTGACCATATCTCTAAAGCTAGTTATGCCCATTTCAACTAATGTGGCATGTATCAGACACTGAATATTCATTGTAAGATCCATTTTTGGAGGTCTTGTTTGTGAAAATCTCTCCATGTATACATTTGTAATTTGTTCTTATTGATCCCTTCAATTATAATTTTTTGTCTGTCCGATCTCAATCGAGATGGTAATATTTGTATTCTTATTATTTCGTCTTCACTGAGTTTTTCTGTGTTTCTTTCTGAACTGCATTATGCTGTTTTGGCTGGGACTTAGTCTTGATGGCAGCCAGATTCTCTTGTTTCTCCAGAATATGAAACACTCTGTGTTATAAAGCAACCAAATATTATCTTTCGAACGAACCATGGTCTGTCCAAAAAGGATAGAATAACATTTATTCTTTGCTATTGATTTGATGGATTGAACAATTGTTGGTGGGATAACTGGGGGGGGGAATATTTGTTTAGACAATGATATACATTAATATTTATGATGAATATTAGAACCGTCATTTACCCAATCACTTTGCTTTGGTTTCAACTGGTCAATAACGCGTATCTAAACTACCTGGACAGTTATTCCTCAGTCCAAACCTCATTTTGGATTTTACATTTAGGAACTTCAGTGGTCTGTTTCTGGTGTCATCTGGTATACCATTTAGCATTTCCGTTAGTTACCCTTCATCTTTTATTTCACCTTAGCTTATGAATTTAATGAAAAACCACAAAAATGCTCACAAGAAATCCATTAAGCTACTGGCTGAGCGAGGAGATAAAAGATCAGGACGTAACACAAAAAGTGATAACAATGGAATACATTTGTCTCATATAAAGTATCCCTCAGGTTTTCGAAGCACCACGAAATTCTTCCAGAACCCGTCGCCTACATCAGTTTTTGGATAATTTTGAGACATCCTTGAGGTCTCTAATTTCTTGGCTTTGCGTAACAATTACCATATAAATCCTCCTAGGTATTTCTTTTAATTCTTCCGCAAAATATCCACAGTTTTTATTGCGCGATATATGTTTTGGTGCTCTTTTGAATGCTGCAGCGTAAAAAATTTAATGAAATATCTACCACTAACGAATATATTTTGCTTACTGAACGTAAATATCCATAGGTTATGGTTATTTGCTTGAGTTAATATGCCGTACTTTACAAATAACTTATCTAAACTATAGTCTAGTCTATCACATTCGAAAGCTCGATACCAAGTGAGCTAATATTTTTGGACCATTGTTCTCAAAATATTCACGTAACTCAAATTTTGCAATATTTTGGAAACTGTTTAAATTGTCTACAATTTCTAATTATTTACATATGACCATATTCTGAACCATCGAAAGTATTAGGCAGCTAAAATAGCATTACTCGTGGTTCCTCTAGCTCAATCAACACTGCAACCACGCATTCACAATGGTCTTCGGGTATCGCCGTAAAACATCGTTACGCTTTTACAACCAAGTAAAATGATTAATATGTGATGAAACTATCAACTGAATTACTCCGTCGATGTTTGTTTCTTTTTTCTTACTTTTGTATACTATTATTAATATTTACTTTAATGATGTTAGATCGCACTACGGGAACGTGTGAATTGATTGTGCTAACCAAATAACGAATATTTGTTCCGAAAGTAATAATAATAGTTTATGCTCAAATAGCAACGTGTTGCAAGAGGAATGCCAATTTACAGAGAAGATCGTAATGTTAAAATCGCTAACATATTTTATGTAAAAAGTTGTTCACTTACCCTAATGCTTCATAAGATACAATAGCTTCATACAGATGGCGAAAATGTTTCTAAAAATATTCAGATAATGTTACAGACTCTGAAATGTGCATCACGACCGTCGGTGCGAGCAACAACGGTTACGTTACGACGGACCACCAATTGCTGAGTACCAGTGCAGGTCTGCATATAACAAAAATTGATGGGGTAAACGTTCGCAGATTGTGTTGACATTCGTCAGATGGTAAATTTACAGGCTCTCAGGTAAAGTGATCAAGTGATCAAGCCGAACAACGGCTTCGCACATACGTTTATGGATAAAAATGGTATGTTTACCCAAACATTTTTAATATCAGGACACTTTACACCTGCGCTTATGTAGGTTAATGAAGACACTTCAGTAGTGAGATAACTAATGAGAAGTTAGTCGAAAGAATCGAGGAAATTCAGAAGAACCAAGTTGTTAGTAATAAAGTTGATTTACAAAATATAATAAAGAGGATCAGTGATATAATTTTTTGGTTTTATTTATTCTTTTTATTTTTATCTCTGAGGCTCAAGAAGTTATGAATGAGCTCTTTTTTAGTATAGTTGTCCAGACCAGCTTGTAATAGGATTTCTCGGTAGGAAGTAAAAACCAGTGCAAGGTTACAGACATAAGTTGTAGACGAGGTTAACAAGGAAAATTAACATCAATATCACTGATTTGTTACATCCTGCTATATCGTAAGGAGCCGTAAGCAAACAAAATGTTCTGCCACACAGACATGGGTAGATTGAGGTTATCGCCCCACCGTCATGAATGTTGGTCAGATACACCACCCTCCCTCCTTTTGTGATGTTAGGCTCTCTTACGTTTAATGGTTAATTGTAAATAATGGTCTCTAGTCTACTCTCAATTTTTTTTGTACACCTTATCGGAATTAACATTCTCTACTAGCTCCAACATTACAAGCAATCCAGACAACTTTGCCAGATAATATATCCACATAGCATATCACACTGATTTTAAGTAAACGAATGTTATGATTTGTAAGATGAGTCAGTTAATGGGTAGTTTGGAAATAGGAAGGACAGGGAGCTGGAACGAGGAGAAAGTGAAAAAAAAAGAGTTGAAATAATATTAAAAATTAATGAGTAAAGCGATAAGTTGGTAAACAGGCAAGGTGTTTACATGTTAATGAATTGGGGAAATAAAAACTAGTTAAACTGTTAGTACTTAAATAAGA